ATCCCCTCTAGTGCTCACGTCGAGAGACTATTTAGTGCAGGAGGCCAATTATTCGATGAAAGGCGTGGGCCTATGATAACTTAGTAAATAGTATTGTCTGATAATAACTTTTAAATGTCACTTTTGTTAAAATTTAACGAATATTTTGAATAAAACAAACTAGAATATAGTCATATAGATTATAGTATGTATTATTATTTTAATATTAATATTTTAAGTTGTCATACTGTTATGTATTTTTTTTATTTTTTTTTCACCCTTTATTTTCTAATAACTGATCAGTGATATACCAACTAATTTAAATTATAACTTAAATAATTAGAACATGTTGATCAAATTACTAGGTGTTTAATTCAATTTTTCAGTTTTAATCAATAATTTAAGTTAGATAACTTATTATTTACTTTTCAACAAAAAAGGTTTTTAATATTATATAAAAAAAACTAACTTCCAACTTCTTAAGTTACTATTTTCAATAAACGAACTTCTAACTAACTAAGTTAGAAATTTAGATAGTTTCAGAAACTAACTTATATTCTAACTTAGTTAGTTTTTTATTAAAGTAACTTAACTTTAACTAGTTAAAAATCACTAACTTTCCCAGCTTTGATAATAGTACAATAATTGCACTTTTCCAATTTTAATGTTTGACCATACAAAGTAATCTATAGTACTATAGAATATTATTACACTAGGTGGTACCTACCTAACTAGTTGTAAAAGTTACGTGTCATAACGTGATTGACTCATAATAGCTATTTGCTTAAAAATAAGAACCGGGCCGCTTAAATCAAGTTTCAAGTAATTTTATTTTATAATTTACAAATCAAAACCATATCATTAAATTGGTAATAAAAATGAAAACCACAAGAAAAACAAAATTAAAAAAAAATTGAATTGTTTCTGTCATACCGTCTCTCCCATGAAATTGAAAATAAATAAACTGCACCTGTATAGATACACAGTAAATGAAATCACAACAAAAAAATATATTAGGAAATGTAAAAATGTTCAATGAAAAACAAATCTTAATTAAAATTACAAAAAATAATATATATTTTAAAAAAATCTCATAAGAACAGAAATAAATACATTTTTAACTAAACATACCTACACAATTAAATATTATACCAGTTGATTCTTTTATCAAAGAACACTTGTTATTTTAAAAAGTATGACAACAGTACAACATACATTTTTATTTTTATATTCAAAAACAGAATATTTTTCTAAGTATTTAGTATTTTTAGGTCATATTTTCCTTTTTTAGTTCATTTTCTGGCATTTTTAATCAAATTACATCAATTTACATGTTTAAAAAATTATTTTTTTTTTTGCTTTTGTAAACAGGCTCTATACGTCGATAAAATAAGGAAATTTATTGTTAGATAACTAAACAAGTTCTTTGTGGCATATTATCGTACCTATATCAGTCATGAATTTCTAGATTATAATATGTTGGTTGATTATTAATTTTATAGGAACTTATTATTATTTTTTTTTTATTATTAAATAAACACATTTTGATGCATGAAAATGTAATGTACTTTTATCCTATAATATCAATATATAAATTAAAAAATTTAATTAAATACCATATTTTAAGTGAATTTTATATCGCATTTTTTGCATTTTAAGTGCATATTTTATTGCATTTTTTTTTTTACTTTCTCAGTTCATTTTTCAATGTGTTTTAGTGCATTAAGTTCACAGCCCTAGTTATAACTATAAAATACTTGAACATATTCAAGATACATATAGGTATTTAAAAAATAATTGATAATCAGTTTTAAATACATGGTTATTGGATTAGAAACTATCGAACTGGTACTTTTCGATTCCTTGTGTTCAGACTCAACTCCACTAATAATATTAATATAACTTTTTCGTTTTTTTTGTCTTAATGGAAAAATCACTAATGTTATTTGTATTTCTCTTTGACATAATATTTTTTTTTTAAATAAAATTATATAAGTAGGCAATACATCAGTACACTAGGAATATCCACAACTGAATGCACTACAGTTAACTTCACAAATCACAAGTCAATAATAATTAATAATATAATATTAATTAAAATAACATGATTAATTAATTAATTAAATACAACAATACGATAAATGATAATTTTGAAAATAATTGGTAATGAGCATAATGTATCACCACACATTACTGTTCCACTAATATCTATTTATAGATACACGGAGGATTTACCCATTTAGCCAATTAATGTGTGTATGTTTATTATAAATATCTATACATCAGCTGAATAGTAATATTATATAGGTACTGTGATAAGTTTTCCCCTATATAATATTATCACTGATAACTGATTTCAAAGGCAGATGAAAAAAATGAAAAATCCTTAGTCACAATATTTTTTTAAAGTTCAAATATTGACAAAATACGTAAAAATGACGAAAATTTGCAAATTATTTTGAGTTATTGTTTTATTGTTACGTAGTAACTTGTTTACTACACAGTAGGTTACAAGTGGGTTACTGTATAATGGATAGTATTAACTTTGAATTCAATGATATAATATAATTGTATAAGAAAAACGATTCTGAGCGGAGACGGTATGTCAGTCTAGGTAAAAGACATATTATATACTTGTCTATGGTATTAAAAAAAAAATTAACCTATAATAGGTACCTATAGTAAATTCCAAATTACCTAATCATATCACAATATCCATTAGGTACTTATAACGCGTTATACACCATCAACAAACCGTGATACATTGGTAAATTTGGTAACTTTGAGTGCCATGTGTATCAATTTCAATACACAAGTACACAACTAATAGTTTATTTGTGCCATGTGTATTGATAATGATACACACTACACTGTTATATGATACGTGATATGAACAGTAAATGTCCCGGTCAGAATGGTCAGTTTTGTCATTTTTGGCCCGGCACGTTTTAAAAAATTGGAACATTTAGTTGGTAAAGACGAAAAAAAAAAATTTAAAAAAAAACACACACATCATTGTAAAATCAATACATTCATCGTTCCACTCAGAATCTAAAATGTGGGAAAGTCGATCTCGAGAAGACTTGACGACAAATTCAAATTTGTTTTCAGAATTTTTATTGCTTCACTAGATTTATCGGTACGTTGGAAATAGAACACAATCCTATGTTGCACGTGTGTTAGACAAAGACAGAAAATCGTCGCTTCCAATTCCCTTAGGACGCCACACGGGCGAAATTACTGTACAATAACATGCCAATTTTGTTCCAATAATACGGCTTACTGAATGGTTTTAGACCAAAATACCTTAATTAAAAGTTTTAGAGGATAGTTACATCGGGTGATGAATAAGACTCGATTTTTGGTACTTAAATTTTTTATACTAATTACTCACAAGAAAAAAATGAAAAAAAAGTGAAAACGCAAAACGATTTCGAAAGTGAAATATCGAAAATCGAGTCTTATATGTCACCCGATATAACTCTCCTCTACAACTTTTAATTAAGGTATTTTGCTGTAAAACCATTCTGCAAGCCGTATTATTGAAACAAAATTGGCATGTCTTACAAAAAAAACAATTTAATTATGTGCTGTTCTCGTTTCTAGCCGCAGCGTTTGTCCCCTCCTATAGTTCCGACATCCAGGAGCGCCGGCCGCCGGCAGGTCAAAACTGATCTGTTATCGACGGTCCGCACTCCGTGCATCGCATTAATGGAAACATTTCAGCGACAATGCAATGATGTTCGTGTTTCTAGAGACATTTCTGTGTCCGCTCAAAAGCGATAAATATCAAAGCTAACCTAACCTAACATAATATAATGTGTTATAAAATATAGATCGTATAATATAATATAATATTATTATAATACTATAACTATACTTAAAACTTTTATAGTTTTATCAATTCTAATATTTTAATTTTAAGAAGAAAATATGTAAATCGAAAGGAATTTGTAAATGTGCAAACATTACTAGTTAAGTACATTTAACAGATAAATATAGTTTTGTTAACTTACTATTAATAATAATTTAATATCACAACATTTTCATTCATTTCCTGTTTAGCTTTAGTGTACATTTCTTGCTTGATTCAATACTTTGGTTATTCTTATAACTTATAAGTTACAACCATCTTTTCATTTAGACAATCATCTTTTTGACATCCCCTGAGGAGATATAGGTAGTTAGTTTCTCTTCATTATCTCGCAGTACAACTACCACTTGGTCTTGATTCAAATATCTTGGTTCAAATTATGAAGATTTATTTGATTATATAAACTTATAATACTCAACTACAAAAACTGTACCATAACTACTGTCCACCTAATGACTATCAGCAAATAGCGACAAATGTATTGCATTTATTGAACAATTATAACAATGTCTTAAAGGAAACACTAAAATATTTACCCTGTTATGAACAGTATGTTGGATTATGGGTGAGAAAGAGCAATAATTTTGTCGCCATCTACCAGTTGTCCAAACAAACAAGTCTATAATATAATAGGTTGCAGTATTACAATACATGGGTATAATAATTAAGAGGGCATAATAGTGGCCAAACTATGGCATAAAAACAAGGTTTCGTAATTCAAGTAATACGGTTTGAAGCGTTCACAATAAAAATACATGTAATAAAATTGTAGAGAATTTTTTGAACAATCATAAGAAGCTCAATTTTTGATATTTTTATTAATTAATTAAATAATTAATTAATAAAAAGAAAATTCTTGTTAATTTTTAATTTACCATGAAATATTGGACGATCGGAGTACAATATTGAAAACCAGGCTTTTTACGGTTGTTAAAAAAATTCTCCTATACAATTTTTATAAAATGTATTTTTACTGTTAACCTTTTCAATAAGCCGTAATACTTGAATTACAAAACCATGTTTTACGATAAAAAATGTTTGATTACAAAAACAATTTACAAATGGTGGTATTGTATTTATTCATGAACATAAGTGTTTTAATCATAAAAGTAAAAAATATTCAGTTTCATTTAGCGAACATCTTAATTTAATAACTGCGGCCAAATAGGGTGAAAGATCCAGCTGGCTGCCCACATTCTGGATGTATACACTGGTCATTGGATTTCAATATATCTGCCCCCTTGGGCTGTTCAAATGGCACACATAACGACTTTGCTCCCATTGTCGAAGCTCCAACATCCGCAGTACCATCATCCCTACGAAATAATTAATACAAAAAGATTAAATTATAGTAAACCATAAACTAACGAGTGTATAATATTTTCATACAATGTGGTATCCCGTTTGATGTTATCCTCGCAAATAGGACGTCCACAAAACGGTATCAATAATAAATGTTTTGCTGCTAACTGCGCAGCACACTCTGACCATTTACGACATATCACAACATTTTCTTTCATTTCCTGCTCTGCTTTATTATACATATCTTGTTGTATTTGATTCAATAACTCGGTTATTCTTACGACCATCTTATCGTTTCCACCATCATTTGGACGTCCCTCTAAGGGAATAGTTAGTTTATCTCCATTATCTCGCCGCACAGCTACCATTTGGTTACGATCCAAATCTTTTGGTCCAATTTCTAACCTCAGTGGAACCCCCTAAAAATCAAATTTTACAATAACAACTATTTTAGATCAAACATAATTTAAAAATTAATAAATAAATACCTTCAACTCCCAGTGGTTGAACTTCCATCCAGGGGAATAATTATCTCGCAAGTCGGTATCCGCTCTTATCATTAAGGAAGAATTACGATGTTGGATAACACTATTGTCATTTTCATCATCAGTTTCTATTAGACTATCTCCTTTTAATCTGTTGCATACATCTAAACAAGTTCTAGTCAAATTATCTTTGACTTCGTTTGCTGTGCTAACTCCTACACCACATGGTACAATAATTACCTAAATTGAAATGTAATATGTTTAACAAAACAGCAACCAATAGCTTATTTGAAATTAATGATCAATTATTGAGAATTGTATAATATTTACTTGAATAGATGCTACGCGTGGAGGTAAAACCAGCCCACGGTCATCACCATGAACCATTACCATAACACCAATAGTTCTAGTTGTCATTCCAAATGAAATCTGATGAACAAATGATTTCTCGTGTGTGTCTGGATGTTCAAAATGAACATCAAACATTTTAGCAAAATTGGTACCCAGATAATGTGAGGTGGCACCTTGAATTGCACGACCGCTAGATGCTACATATGCTTCACAAGTAGTAGTAAATATTCCTCCAGCAAACTTTTCTTTTTCAGTTTTTTTACCTTTTATCACTGGTACTGCCAACATATTCTTGTACACATACTCATAATAGCCTAAAAATATCACAAATCAATAATCAACTAACAATATCATTAATTGGAATAATTTTTTCCAACTAACCTAATGTTATTAATACATCACGTTCTGCTTCTTCTCTAGTTGCATACGCATTATGACCCTCTTGCCACAAAAACTCCCTAGTTCTCAAGAAGGGTTGAGGGTGTTTGAATTCCCACCTCTAAAAGAAATAAATAAGTTGAAAACAGAAATTCTCCCTAACATTTTATAAACTAAATGGAAACAAATAATGCACCACAACGCTATTCCATTGATTGAGTTTCAATGGCAAGTCTCTGTACGACTGAATCCATTTCGCAAAAGCTGGATACATCCCAGTCTCACTGGTTGGTCTAATAGCAATAGGTTCAGCTAAATCCGTTTCACCAGATTTGGTAACCCAAGCTACCTATTAAGACATAAATTTCATTAGATCAGTCAAAATGTATCTTATTTCATGTACTATGTTGTTGGAATTTTACCTCTGGTGCAAAATCTGCAATATGTTCTTTTTCTCTTTCTAATGCTCCTTGTGATACAAACATTGGGAAATAACAATTCCGTATATTAAGAGGCTTTCTCTTAATCCGTGCATCGAACCATTCTTGTATTAATTCCCATATTCTGTAAGCCCAAGGCCTGAGCACGTAACATCCACTTACATCATAATATTCAATCATTTCGCCTTTAACCAACACTTGAGAATACCATTCTCCAAGATTTTCGGATATCTTTAGTACTTCTAACCCTAATTTTGTTACTTTTTTCGTGTTTGCACTATCGGACGTTTTAGTAGTGGCCACAGCAATACTCTCTTTTTTCTTTGATTTTTTATCCTAAAATGTCCCATATTTCATGTTCAAGTAATATAATATATTTTATAGATTGTGTTTTTTTGAAGAATTTAATGTATCATACTACACAAGTTCAATTTAGTTTAATATATTTCTTCATTTGTATTTATTTATTGTTTTTGATTTTTCTATTATCTATTCATTAAATTATTTATTTATTTTGTTAATCTAAGTTTGAATTATTTTAATAAAATAAATAATAATTCTCCTTATGCAATTTGTTATTTTTTTTTTTTTAAACTAAACTTAAAAATTAGAATTGGACGTTTAACTAACAATTTAAAGATTTAAAGAGATAAACTATGTTTATGCATAAGATGTCAAAAATTCATCATATAAATCAAAAACAATGGTAAACTGATGATTACTAACTATGATTTGTGAACAGTTTTTTTTTTATATATATAGGCATAATTAGTTTTGATTACCTTAAAATTACTTGTGGTGATTGAAGTTTCTGATTTTGTGTGACCATCAGGTATGTTAAACAACACTAGTGGCGTTTCTTTTCCAGTGTGAATGCTTCAAAAAATCATTTATTTTATCAAACATTTAAGACAAAAAATGTTCTATAACTAATTCTTACTTGTATGGCTGGTAAGTTGAATCACATATAAAATAACCTCTACGTTGTAACTGAATCACATCTCCCTTCTTTAAATCTTTCAACTCTGAATCACCTATCATTTGCAATTCCCAGCGACTATTTTCTGTATTTAAGTATTGCTTGAAATCGTCATCTTTGGCTAATACTGCTTTACTAATTAAGTGATCAAAATAAACACAAACAACTGGTACCAGAATAGGTAAAACTTCTTCAGATTCTGAATAATCGGTTTTTGGTAACCATGTAACTTTGACTGTAGATTTAAAATCTGTGTTTTCAAGATCAGACACTGCATGAATTCTCTCTATTTTATTATTATTTTGGTTCCTAAAGAAGCAAACATACAAATAATGATCTATATATGTTATTATGATATCCTATCAATAAGTATTACCTTTCTATACGGGTTATCAGGAGATTTCCCCAATTAATAAATGTTGCTCGTCGTCCAACTTCTAATAACTCTGCATCACTATAATTTATAAGAATTGTAGGTGCGGCCCAGACACAATTCTTTAGTCCTAATTGAGAATTTTTAGGATGTTTAGGGACATTGTCAATTTTATATGGTTTTTCAACATTCTCTACAACAACTTCAACTGGTGGATAAGATAATACTACATTTTCTTTATTTGAATTGGATAATAACAAAGCAGTATGCCTTGGTGCTATTGAATCAACGATACTACGATTTAATGACCAAATTTTATCCCATTGCATAGCTGTAACAGTTCTGGAAGATCCTTGGGCCACTATGAATTGTTTCAATGCTTCCACCTGCATTCCTCTCCTAAAGACACCACGGACAGTCGGCATTCGTGGATCATCCCTTAAACGTAAAAAAAAAGATTTTATTATATGTTGTAGCAAAATTAAGAACCTTTCTGTAATTTCAATTAGTAAACTATAAAAGAAACTAATTATATACTATGTAAATTATTAAAATACATATATTTAACAATTATATTAACCATCCATCTACGTGGCCTTGTTCCACAAACCAAGTTAACTTTCTCTTAGACAGAACAGTATTAGTCATATTTAATCTTGAATATGACCACACATAAGGTCTGGTTTCATTGCTGCGAGTACCAAGCTTTAATGCATCACAAAACCAATAATACTGAGCATCACGATCAGTATATTCTGTTGTGCGTAAGCAATGAGTAACGCCTTCCAAACTATCGATTATAGGACATGCCAAATCATAACATGGATATACCCTAAAATAATAACATAAATAATAATTATTCAAGTGTATGTAATTCATGCATAAACAACATATTAATGAATAAATAAATAAAATATAAATACTAATTTTTAAATTAAATAAATAAGAATTTCAAATATATATATTACATTTACCATTTTTTTTTTTTTTGGTTTTACTGATCTTAATTATAATTATAATTATAATAATTTATTTTTTTGCTACAGATTTTACATCAAATTTTACAAATGAAAATACAATATTGCAGCACCCTTGGTAAGCAAAGCTTGTGCTGGAGGAGCAGTTCTTAAGAATATACAATAGACCAATATAAAGTAATAAATTTGACATTAATAAAATAAATAGTATGTATAGTCAAAATGTAGGGATATAGTGGAATCTTTGATTTTAAAGTATCATATTAATTAACAGAAATAAACTAATGTAAATTTAATGCATGTTATAGTAAAAAATTTATTTAAAAATTTTAGAAAATATTATAAAAATGACATAAAATAAATTAACTTTAAGCACAAGGTAAATCTAAATATTTAATATGTTTCTTAAAAATAAATAAATTACTAAAATTATTCATATTAATATTAAAAGTTAAACATAATTTCAGACTTATATAAAATACACTATTTTGTCCAAAAACTTTTACACAATTTGGTAAATGTATATTAATATCATGTTTAAATCTAGTTTTGTGTTCATGAACAAAAATAGTAATTGAGTGTTTATATTTATATAGCTGGATTAAAACAAAAAAATTATGAATAAATTTCAGATTTTTCACATTTAGTTCTTTAAATATTATTGTTGTACAAGTTAATATAGATAGATTTAATAAAAATTGTATGATACAATTTATAGTAATATTATGTTTATTTAAATTACTATAAAAAGTTCCTCCCCAAAGAGACATACCACGTGAATAAAAAGATTGAACCAAAGTTCAATATATATTTCTGTTATAGGAATTATTAAATAGATGTCTAGCTTCTTCAAAAATTAGAAAAATTTGTATAATTTATTATTCATTGAAAAAATTTGATTATCCTGTTTAAATTTATAATCTAAAACTAATACAAGATATTTTATTTCTTATACTTTTTCAATATCAATACAATTTGAAGGGGATAAACAATTAAAATTGGTTATACATTTCAATGAATGGACAGTTAAATTGTAATGTATAAGAATATTAGATGAATTTATTTTAAAACAAATAAATTTGGATTTAGATTAATTCAATTTTAATTTATTTTTACAGAACAAAGAAAACACATTATTTAGGAATTTATTTGATTCATTAAATAAATTATCAATTGATTTGTCAGTAACTAATATAGCTGTGTCATCAACAAAACTGAATAATTCAATATTAGTAATATTTTTTATTTTTAAAAGATTATTTATAAAAATAATGAATAAAAGAGGACCAAGTACTGTACCTTGGAGAACAGCCACAAGTTGTATTATGTTATATTCACTTAGGGTATCATCTATTTTTACTCTGAGTTCTTTCACTTAAAAATGATTTTATGAGATTTGCCAGATTGATCTAATTTATTTAATAATATCTTATGATCTTATGAAAATTGAATAGATCACATTGATTCTATAAAATAATATGTTTTAATGTCCTTACTTATACTTATCACCAGTTCTAGGATGGGATTCAGGCTTGCAACGATATATTGTTGGATCTCGCAAACATCCATTTGCAGATTGCATATCAATTTTAGCCCGAACACAACACTTAATACCAATTTCTGTACCTAAAACCATTTGTTTCCACAATTCTAGGTTCTTCTCAATTGCTGAAATGTGAGTAAATTAATTTTAAAAATTGCATAACATAGGCTGAATCCAAACAATACGCTCCAATAACAAACTTTCTGATAAAGTTGGACTATTTATTATATTATTTAAATAATTAAATTAATAGCCAAGACTTTTAGAATTGGCGTGCACAGACTTTTATGTGGCAGATTTAGCTATTTTTTTTTTTTTTTTTTGTAATTAAAATATTTTATTCAATCTGTTTCAATACATGAATAATAAGAATAATTGATGAAAGTAAAAAATTAAAATAAAATAAAAATAAATGACAGATTATCCCGAATGTAGAGGCCTCCCAGTGGAGGTACTACGACATGAGTATTACTTAGTATTACTTTTTACAATCATAATACAATAAATAATATATAAAACAAACTAAAACGGAAAGTAATAATGTATTTTAATTTGATGTAATTTTCGAATTCCAACAGTTTAGTAGCAGTTTTTAGAAAATGATTTAAGAGACTTTTTTTGCCCAATTTTTGGTTAGTATATAGATACTCAAAAAAAAAAATTCAAGTGTGGGTATATCCTTACAAGTCACTTTGGTATCACACGCCTGTGATATTTAGTCAATGCTATTATTTATAATAACCAATACATTAACTTTAATTCAAAACTTTGTAAGGTACTTAATTATTAAATATTTAAGTTCTTTACATTTTTAATAATTTTTAAATAGAGTTAAATCATAAGACTTACAGTTGTTTCGATTTATTGAATCTATTCTTTGCTCGCGTTCCAAACGTATTTTATCTCCATCCGTGTCATCCACGTAAGCTAAGCCTTCTTTCAACATTCCATTCTCACATATATCTAACATTTTATCAAAATGATCAGAAGTATATGTAAAAATGTCGGGTTTAATTTTTAACATTTCAACGTCTTCTAATATAACCTAGTAAAATATTTAAGATTAAATCTCATAACTCATTACTTAGTACCTATATGGTTTTTATTTTAATATTTGTTTTAAAATAGACAAAAAAAGCAAACCAGACAAACTAGTAAAAATAAGATAAAGATATTGAATTTGTTACAAAATGTATATTATTTTCTTATACCTTCTCAAAATCTTCCTTCTCCTTTGCTGGATTTGTATCATCAAAACGCATTATAAGACGGCCATTAAAAGCCAATTGATAGTGTTGATTTAATAGAGCAGCTTTTGCATGCCCAATATGCAAATATCTGAAAACAATGTATTATTAATATTAAAATAACTATAAAGCATATAATATGAAAATATACAAAACACATAAGCACTAACCCGCTTGCTTCTGGAGGAAATCTAACAACAACCTTTCCCATTTCAGCTCCCGGTAATTCCACAAACTTTCCTTGTTGTTTACTATTGTCTTCAACAGACTTTTGCTGTTTTGGGGCTTTTTCATTTTTTTTAGTTTCCGTTTTCTTACTTTTGAGGACAGAAGTAGAACCTATTTAATTATAAAAAAATTATTAATTAAGACCTATACTGTTAGACTTTAACAACTTATTTACCTTTTATTTTTAATTTCCATTTAAATTAATTTAAAATTTTTAAATACTTAAAATTTAAGAATTATAATATAGACCATTTTTTTATGAAGACAAAAGTATCTACAATAAAATTAAAAATTACTACAATTCAATATTACAATTTATGTATTATAGATATTGAATAGAGGTATCTATCATAAATTCATAATTAGTAAATATATATTAATTATTATTACCACAAAGAAATAAATACATTTATAAACTAAAGAAATATATTATCAAATGATTAGGCCATAGAACTAACTTACATATAACAACATTTCTAAGCTATTTACTGAAACGAGCTTTCTTTACAATAACCAAAAACCAAAAACATAAATTGATTTAAATTGACATTGGGCAAATGCAATTTACAAATGTTATAGACAGGTTAGGTTTTATTTTAATAGACATTGTGTAATTATATCACAAAATATAAAAACGAATTATGTGCTTGGAGTCTAGAACTATAATAAAATTATTTAAGGAAACTCTTTTCATTTTATTTTTGAGAGCAAGTTGTGATTTTAATAGTTTTGATTATTTTTCAAGTGTTTGAAATTGTAATTCTTTTATGAAAGGTTTATTTATTTTATGTTATTGAAATTATAATGTTTAACGAAAATAGAAGCCAAAGGTTTGTCTACCTAACCTGATTGGTAGCGAAGTAACCACTAACATGGTAATACACTAATAAATTATTCATCAGTAAATAGATACTAGAATAATTTGTTTCAGATATTTTTATTCATATTAACACAAAGAAAAAAAACATACAGTTTTGTAGTCAGATAAATAATCACAAAAATTAAAATGCCTAATATATTATGCCATAATAACTGCATTAAATACCAAAACTTACCTTGTATTTTTGCATTTGTATTTTGCAAGTCTGGAGCAGCCAACTACAACAAATAAAAAAAAAATACAGATAAATCATTATTATCCGTTTTTTATTTGTGTATAATGTAATCAATTGGATACAGATGACATCTTTCCAACAGACAAAACAATTACAGTACTCTCGGTAATCCAGTCCAGTAATCTGGCTATTTTTTTTTTTACTCTACTAATAATCATAATTGTAGTATCAAGAATAATAAAACTAATGGATTTAATTTTGAATTTACCGATTAGACATTTAGTTTATATTCCGTTGACATGTATATTGTGTATCGGTTAGTTATTGTGTTGTATTAGATACTTGTTCATTTAAAATGTTTATGGGATTTAGGTTTTGCAATAAGTAAAAATGCTTTTATTTATGAACCTCGAATAATCCATCGTTTTCGTTATCTGCCGGATTACCGAGATATTACTGTACACATGTAACTGTTATTTCAATGTCCCGATGAACAACACTTTTAGATTTCATCATGGTACAGCTAGTACCTACTACCTACATAACCTGTCTATTGCACATATTACATACATTGTCCACATCACAATTAATATATTACTTTTTCTGGATAATATGTTTAATTATTTAAAAATGTTTAAAAATATGTATTATTAAATGCAGTTCGTCTTACCTGCTGCTCCAGACCGGCTAGATCTTTTTCAGGAGCGTTACTCATGTTCAATCGACCAATACGAACGAGAAATTACAAGAAACGAGAATACCACAAAGAGAATATTAGCAAAAGCGGAAAAAAGAGAAAGCAATATTGAAAGTAATGAAAATAAAATAGTCAAATTTAAATTACAGCATGTTAATGTTGATTACTTAAAAAGTTATTATTGATAACAGCGACGCGTCGACGCACAAACTTATTATGCACGTCGTCATGAAGTATCACAGGCGTGCACACCGAAGTAGTATTACTAGTTACCACGAATTAAAATATACTGGATACCCAACGACCGATATGAACAACCATTTTTCTTGGACCCAAAATGACTTGTCAGAACGAGTGTGTAGCGGTGATGGTAGATAGGCAACGGCTACACTGTCGTATCATGTCGTATTGATAAGACAATTATGTAAACCACGGACTAAGATATACAGGACTGGACACGAGATGAATATTGTGGTTACGAAATGTTTTACAACAGGCGGAGTTCGGGGGGATATTTTCCTTTTAGCATTACTAGCGCCGTCTTAGTGGATACTTATGGAACTAGAAATTTGTATGATGTGTTCTAGTTCCATAAGTATCCACTAGGACGGCGCTAGTAATGCTAAAAGGAAAATATCCCCCCGAACACTGCCTGTTGTAAAACATTTCGTAGTCAACCCCCCCACACCCTCCAACCTTGTCGTGTCCAGTCCTGTATATCTTAGTCCGTGATGTAAACATTGACCTACACGCATATGGCGGATAACTTCAATGTTCGATGCCTTGTTAGCTATCTAGTATTTTATATCTGTGACTGTAGCCGTTCTCTTACAGCTGATAAGAACTCAAAAAAAAAAAAAAATTTATCAGATCATGTTTACAAATACTAAAACATAAATTCCCTGTACCATTAGGTACCATAAAGACATTACCAACATTATCATAAATTATATTTTATGTAATATGTATTTGTATTCAGTATTGAATACTAATTATAAATAATATTTTAAAGTTTAAGCAGTAAGTAACAAATAACAATAAATCAATATTGTATAATTTTTCCATAAAAATAATATTTAATGCAAGAAATATTATTTAAATGTTATAACACTGTTAAGGGCCGTTCTTACAATGTCTGGTAAAGTGTCGGTTAACGCTAACCGACTGATAACAGATTTTATTACCGGCAGAATTCCGCCGGTTAAGTGTCGGTTAACTTTAACCGGACATTGTAAGAACCAGTGTCATAATATGTATGAAATAACACAAAACATTCATGCAATGTTCAGTAATTATTGTTGTATTCGAATAATCTAGTTTATGTGTTACCCGCAGCTGCAGCGGCCTGAGGTCTGCAATTTATTATTATAATAATACTTTATAGTTTATTTATAAGTTCAAAAATAAACCCAAGTCCCAAATAATTATAATAATATAATATTAATATCTCATTAGTCATTATTATAAACATAGGCATTAGGCATTGGTTTTTTGATTCGGATTTCGGGGAAGCCGAACCCGCAGCCCGAGGTCACTGTGCTTTGCAGTCTTGGTGGGAGGTATAATATTATATAATATTCATATATTATATAATAATATCATTATCCTGACAATGGCTGACATAGACTGTGGTAATGCGGTGTCACAAATCTATAATTTACTGCTCTATACGACTAATGAGTAATGACTAATGACTATACCCATTATTGTTAATACATATTTTTACAATATTACCAATCACCAGATTACCTACATATTTTTGTCTTTAACCGCCTTTTGCTATCATACAACGAGCATATTGAGTTAAGGTACTTGTTTTACTGTTTAAAACAAGTTTTGAACGATACGAAATGAAATTAAGTACATTAGTAGATAATATTCTCGTCTTATCCAGCTGTTAAATAGGTAATTATTATACACAAATTGGTCTGCTCTTTAGTCAAAATTTTGGGCATGTAATTATATAATTGTAACTTCACATGTAACAACTAACAAGTGATTTCCTAAAAGAAGGTGTAGAACTGACAGTTAATTGGAATTTAGAATACATATCGAATACAATTTTATAAAAACGGGAAAAAGTATAGTATGTATATACCTATTAAATAGGTATATTAACTTAAATTTATTATTTTGAATACACAATATTCATTTATTATAGGTGAGCTTGGAAAAGCATGTAGCGTTATCTGACCAGACTGCATATCACTATGGGAGACACCAGTTCAGAGCCTCAGTATAGCACTATAGCCAATGAAATAACGTCAACTTTAAACCATCATTGAGTGGAGCAAATTAATTGTTGAGTATGCCAGACTCTCTCCATTTTAACATGCCTGAAGTAAATCAAGTAAACATAAATCTAAACATTTATAAATATTTTTACAGTATAAATTCCTTAGAATTCCTAAATAAATTACTAATTCAGTGGAACCTTCCGTATAATGAAGTCACTCACTATTTATCACTATTCTCACTTTTTTTGAGTGTGCTCACTTTTTCACACTTACTTCATATCTAATTTTTTTAAAAGCTCTTTAAATATAAATAAGCGTTTACATTAAATATTTGACATTTTTATAATTATTTATATATTTTTTCTATAGTTGTTAAAAAAATTGTTTTGTAGTTAAAAATGTATAAAATGTTAACTTTTATCGCTAATGATTGAACATTTAAAACAAGGTTCCATGTAAATAGGTTATATTATATAAATATAAGTATATAAATATTTACTCATGTCGTAGTACCTCCGCTGGGAGGCCTCTACATTCGGGATAATCTGTCATTTATTTTTATTTTATTTTATTTTTTACTTTCATCAATTGTTCTTATTGTTCATGTATTGAAACAGATTGAATAAAATATTTTAATTACAAAAAAAAAAAAAAAATATTATATAAATTACTTTATTTACAATAATAATATCATCAAATATACTTAGAAATATCATAGGTCTTCGATCAGAATCGTTTTTCTTATACAGTGATATTATACAAGTGGTGATACAAAAAATGTATTTAAATAGTGGTAACCTATAAGTTATAACTATTTACTCAGTATTTCGTACATGTTCGTTGAGTTAGAAATAATCGAACCCAAACATTTCGCCGCCGCACCGTTTCGCCGCAGACTTTTTCACCGCCGGACCATTCGCCGCGACTTTTTCGCCGCTGGACCATTCGCCGCGAAGGGCTAACCTCCCCACAAAATATCAATAATATCAATTATGTACCTACCTATAATTTAATATAGGTATAACAATAGGCATTAGGTACAAAAATTATACAATTTTTTCAAACCTCACCACCCGAATATTTCATGCGTTTATCCCCGATTATCACATTTTTGATTTTGAAACATAAATTTCGATATGTTTCTCAATTAAAATCAGATACATTTTATCACCCCTCCTACAGGAATTCGCAGCTTTAATTCCCGTCTGTGCATAAATGCGCAGCTCATAGGCATGCTCGCGGGGGTGGAGCCATTCGCTCTCAGTGCTTTCACTCTGTTGGGCCGGGGGCAAACGCTTTTATTTTAGAATCCATAATAAATAATAATATAACAACATATTTTGTAGATAAACGTTCACGGCTTAATGGCACGTGACAATAATTATGAAATTTTTATCTAGGTCAGTGGCGTTTTCTCTGGGTGTGCAAGTTGTGTGTTAACGCCCTAAACATTGATGTCATACATGTGTGTAATATTGTAATTTGTAATTCATATTAGTATATTACATGGTTATATAATTGTATTTACAAAATCTTAAAATAATTGTCATGTAAAAATAATAATATCAAATAATAAACTATTGTCTATTTTAAGCTCTAAACTCGACCATGCGCCCGCGCCGTCTGCAGCTACGACGCCGATTACGGAATAATATTGTATTATGTTGTATTGTTGTGTTTGTGTAGGGTGTAGCCGTGTAGGACGTTAATGATTCGAACAACGACTTGTGGTATCTAATATCTCATATTCGTAATTTGTCGTGATATTTTCGGATAACTTCGGTGCCGTGTTAATACTAGACCAAGTCGTTGAAAATGAAATTAACGACTAGCCACTACTCAGTACTCACTAGTCACTAGTCTAGCGCTAGCCTATACACTGTGTGTGGACCGTTAGTGGCAGGGGCGCATTAAGGGGGGGGGCAAAAGGGGCATTTGCCCCGGGCGGAAGTTTTTTGGGGGCGGTACATTTTTTGTAATTTTTTTTTTTTTTGTATCTCAGAGTCAAAAAGAAAACATACAAATTGTATGACATAATGGAAAACTCGCTTGTTTAAGAAACAACTAATAATAATTAGTATTATCATACTAATGTACTATTCTTTTGTACTTATTTTTCTTGGGAAGAAACAAGAAAAAAAAAGAACAGCATTTTACAATGATTCTAATTTTAATAGTACTGTTCACATTGGAAAAAATAAAATGAAGAATGATATTTTTTATGTGATCATTGATACATTATGTTCAAATTTAAATGAACGAAAGGCAGCCTATCTAGTTATTAATAAAAACTTTAGTTTTTTGTTTGATTTGAATCGTTCGGACACTTTAAGTGTTCATCAAAGTGCATTGAACATTGTAAGTATATATACTGAAGATTTGAATACATCATTTGTTGAAGAAGTTATTCAATTCAAAAAAATTACTGAATCATATCACAATAATGATTTATCTATGAACGGACTGTTAAAAAAATTATCTAGTTCTCCATTAAAAGCTACCTTTCCTAATGTTCTTATAATTTTAAGAATCTGCTTGTATGCCTTGTACCAATGCGAGTGGTGAACAATCATTTTCAGTGCTTCAACGAGTTAAAAATTATTTAAGATCCACCTTATCTCAAGATAAAACATCTTCCCTTTCATTGCTATTTGCTGTCAATAGAAAATGAGATGCTTAGAAGTATTGATTGGTCAAGTATTGTAAAAGAGTTTGTGAACAAAAAAATAAGAAAAAAAATATTTTAATTAGTATTGTTCCATATTTTTCATTTAAATAGTT